ATATGTACTTTACAAAATAATGCAGATCTGATCACTAGATCACAAGAGTTTTGGTGACATACATTGTGACAGTTAAGGTTAATGTCAACGTTCTCGTAATCGGGCTGTGTCAGATTACTATCATTTTTTTTCATTTTTGTATTTTTTTTATTATTATATTCTATTTGCAGGAATAATGGGTGAAGTTTCCTTTTAGGGTAGTAAATTTAGTAAATTTCGTAAATTTAGTAAATTTAGTGAATTTCGTGAATTTTGTAAATTTAATGAATTTTGTAAATTTAGTGAATTTCGTGAATTTAGTTATCAAATTAAGTCTGTAAATTTTGTTATAAAAGAGCTCTTTGCTCGCCCCAAATAAAAAAGATAACTCTCACTTGAATTTTAACTTCGAAATCATCGTAGTAGAAGTTGTTTCTTAATAATTGACCTCCTTGACCCAATTAGTTCCTAATAAACTCTTATTTCTGTCCTGAACTTAGTGTAGAATTATCGCTTAGTGGGAAAACCTCTTAGTAAAAGTTCCGATAACATTGTCGAAATTAGAGTAGAAGTGTTAGTCCCAAGTTATTTCCTTTATCAAAATCTATAATACAAATACAAATTAAACTTATCGTATATCTCTTGTCTCTGTGACCACATTATTCTTCTATCAAAAATGTCAATTACAAGAAAAGAGTATTGAATAATAAAATAGAACCCTTTTAAATAATGAAAATATACTTATTAAATATCTTATTTTCTCGTAATGCATTGTCATTACTTATTAAGCCAACAATTAATTAATTGATCAAACAATTAATTGATCTTCAAAATTACCGTGACATCAGCCTCATCGGCTAATTGAAGATCCTAATTCCGCCAAATATCTATCCATGACATAGACTTAAATTAATCACCGATTGCCGCTAGTATCATGATTATGTAACACATGATCACGAAATGAACGAGTATTCTAAATCGAATAATTAGAGTTGTTCGTGTTAGAAAAATTAATACAACAAAACAGTAATAAGCTAAAAGAATACAAAAGCCTTATCCAAGTCCCGGAAATATTACCACAAGACCCGAAAGATCTTGAAACTCGGACCAAGTCTTTCCATGCCCTCTTTCTGCCTTCTGCCTCAAGATTTTAGGAGTTTTGAAGCATAGTTTAGTTGTTTTAGTAGAATAACATAGTATTTTAGTTAGTTTAGCATAAAAGGTTTTAGCAACCACTTTCTTAATTGGTGGTAACTGTGAGATACTTACTTCTAAATTTACAAGCACTCCAAAAAAAAAAAAAAATTCTTTTACTAAATTATATACAAACAATCTAAGTAACCAAAGAATTTCTAATTAAGTTATGTCGGACCTAGACCATCTTGAAGACAATAGGACGATCAATGGAGAACCTATTATCCACGATCTCCTGCCCATGTACCAACCGCAACCGGCTGAACCAAACCCGGCCCCTGAGCTTCTTAGAGAAATAGCCCAAGCGTTTCGAGAAGTCACTATCCATAATGTACTCCCAAATCCCAGAGAAAACAACTGGGTCCATGTCAAAACATTCAAAGGAGAAGAAGATGAAGACCCAGTTGAATGGATTGAAGCTTTTAAGAGAGCTGCTGATGCCAATAATTGGGGCTGGGGAAGGAAAATCAAAATAGCTTCAGGACACTTATCAGGCCTAGCAGCTAGTTAGTACAATGATTAGAGAGAGAACTTTTTATTTTGGGATGACGAGAATAACCCTGAAGATAGTTTTGTCCAGTCTGTTACAAAGTATTTCGCCCCCTGGAACATAAGTACCAATGGCAGTTAGAACTAACTAATTTGAATCAAAAAGAAAAAGAGAAAGTTGATAAATATGTATACCAGTTTAAAAAATTATTGAAAAGAGTTGACCCTGATTATCAAATACCTGCTGCCTACGTCGTTAGGATGTTTATAGAAGGATTACATGGCAAAACCACTGCCCTGATGTTCACTAACGACTTTGACACACTAGATGATGCTATTGCAAAAGCAAAAAAGTAGAAGCTGAACAATACTATGAGAACTGGAATAAGAAAGAATCTACTAGTCAGGTCCTCGATGATTTAACACAAAAGATGTAGCAGATGGCTACAAACTGCAAAAAATTAACTATGGCCCTGTCTGTTAGTATAGGAATTAATCAACCCAGGCCCCAAAATAATAATAACAAAACCCAGCCGTGGCAGTTTCAACTCCAGAGAAATGAAGCCATCATTTGCTATAATTGTAGAGAAAGAGGCCATATAGCCAAAAACTGTCCTTTGGAACCACACCAAAATCACCAATGACCCCCTAACAACTATACGGAAACTACCTCCACCACTATAAGCGTTCACTTATGTGATATCAACGACAATGGCCTAGGAAATGAAGCATATATTATAAAATGAACTGAAAGACCGGAAGAAATAAATTGGAACGATCGGCTAAGAAAAAGGGTTGCTTTAAAACCCAACTTGGTGCCCCAAACACCCCAACCAGCTCCTATTGAAGAAGATACCCCAATACAAGTCCCTGTCTAGCCTCAGCCTGAAGTACCTAACAAAGTAAGGCGTAAACAAGGCCTTTTAGTTATAGACTCAATATCACTATATAACATTGCTGAAGACCTTTTAAGAAAACGTGCCAATGCCACATATGCACAACTGCTTCAAGTTTCCCGGTAAAGACAGACTTGGCCCAAGCCCTGCAGCACCCTATAATCCACACCCCAGAAGCAACCAATTTTGCTGAAAGCAAAAGTACTCAACAAACCACGGTGGCTAAATGCTATGTCAGGGTTAATAATAACCCAATTCTAGCAGTTCTAGACTTCAATGCCATGGTCAGCATAATGTCGATTAAGCTAGCAATAAAACTTGGCCTCACCATCACTGAATCCTCAAATACAATTGTTATTACTGCCAGTGGAGCCTAGAAACGAGCTTTAGGAAAATATAAGGAGTAAAGTTAGCCCTGCAAATTGTCCTGGTATCTACCGATTTCCAGGTTATAGAAAACCCAAAAGAAATGATGCTCCTTGGAATAGATTGGTTCCAAAAGGTCTGAGCACATCTCCACTTTGATAAGAAGAAATTACATATTAGGTATCTAGGCCGAAGCCTAGGAGTACCAATATATCAAGCAAAGGAGGACAAACAAGAGCTACCTGAAGATAAAATAGAAGAAGACAACGATTTTTTCGACCTTTATGAAGAAGAAAAAGATCTAGATGAAGTAGAGAGTTATCATACTAATGAAGCAGAAGTAGACCAAATGACTCTTAATCAATATGGAGCTAGTGATAACCCTGCAATCTATTTGACCGACGTGGAAGAAATTTCAATTCCGGAAGAAGACTCCTAGCCTGAATTAACCTTAGACAAAATAATCAAGCAATTGGTACAAACAAATACCTTTACTCAAGAACAAAGAGAAGAAGTCATAATGGTGTTAAGAGATAATGGCAGTTTGTTTTCCACTGGGTTAAATAAATTGGGATACACAGCCAAAACCCAACATGAAATCGATACTGGGGAGGCTAAACTGATTAAATAATTGTCATTTTGAATCTCTCCAGATGCACAAAACTTCCTGGACAAGGAAATAAAGAAGATGTTACAAAATGGGCTTGTTTATGAGCTAAAGGCCGCGTGGACTTCGCTGGTAGTCATCGTGCCCAAGAAAAATAGCAAACTACGCCTATGCATCGATTATTGAAACTCAATGCTGTGACGAAAAAAGATGCATACCCCCTGCCGCACATTGATGACATGCTGGACTTGTTCAACAAGTCCAAGTGGTTCTCCAGCCTTGATATGGCCAGTGGGTATTGGCAGATACTCATGAAACTTGAGGACCAAGAAAAAACCGCATTTGTTACTAGACAAGGAGTATATGCGTTTAACGTTATGCCCTTTGGTCTGTGCAATGCACCAGCCACCTTTCAGCAGGCTATGAATCACATCCTGCAAGAATTCATCAGAAAAAGCATTGCTATATACCTAGATGATATTATCATCTACTCTAAAACCTTATGGAAGTTTTTATGGCAATAAGAGAATCGGGATTAAAGCTTAACCTGGAGAAGTGCGAGTTTTTTAAGGAAAGCATTGACTTCTTAGGCCACACAGTAGGAAGTAACGGTATCCAACCTGATATAAAAAAGGTGGAGAAAGTCAAAAATTTTCCTCCACCCAGTTACAAGGCTTTATAGATCTTGCCTCTTATTACTGCCGATTCATTAAAAGCTTTGCCATGATAGCAAAGCCCTTACATAAGTTATTAGAAAAGAAAGTCTCATACCAGTGGAAAAGCAAGCAAGAACAAGCCTTTGAAACTCTGAAAACCCAGCTGACTTTAGCTCCGGTCTTACGATATCCCAACTTTGAAAAGACCTTCTATCTCTATACTGACGTGTCGGGTGTTGGCTAGGAGCAGTCCTAGTACAAAAAGATGAAACAGACAAGGAGCATGCTGTTGCATACGCTAGTAAAAGCCTTACCCGCCCAGAAAGAAATTATTCAGCTACTAAATTGGAGTGCTACACCATAGTTTGGGCCGTAGAGTATTTCCACTATTACTTAGAGTATAAACCCTTTATTATTGTCACCAACCACCTAGCCTTAAAATGGCTTCACAATACCATGCTAAAAGGAAGAAGAGCTAGATGGATACTATGCCTTCAGCCCTACTACTACATTATAATATACAGGGCCGGAAGAGTACATAACAATGCCAATGCATTGTCTAGGATGACTAAAGAACTACCAAGGATAATACAAGCAATTACTGTCCAGGAAAAATTAATATATAGGGACCCACAACAGAACAAACAATTTTACCTACCCAAGAAAAGTTAGCAGCTCAAGGAGCCAAATTAGAAGAAGTCAAAGTTTTCTGGGCTATTGCTCAAGAGTACTTACTTGGAGACTCTGATGAAGAATTGGAAACTATTCCTTGAGATAATAATACTACTGAATAGATTGAAGAGGAACATGAAAATGAGATGTCAAGTAGTGATGAATACATAAACTATAAATAGGAAGAAGAACTTACCAATAATGAAATTGAAAGAGAAAGGTGTTACCAAAACCTCCTAACCGAATTAGCTCTAGAAATCAGAATTGAAATAACCTGGTCGATTGTAAATGGATACCAGAATGAGCCTCCAAATAGCAATAATACTAAAAGTGAATTACAACTTACCAACTTGGACGAAGCTTATTTAGTTGATATACCCCAATGGGGTGAAACCCCTGAAGGACTGGAATTCGAAGGCAGTAGTGATAATAGATATAAGGATACGGGCTATGGCTATTATAACCTGCATCTAGATTCCAATAATTGTTGGTGGAATACTAACAAAGACAAAAAACTATTCCCGGAATTTACGGCTAACCTAGAAAGCTCAGAATGGTTATCAGAATTTGATGACAACATTAATTGGGACTATAATGACTCATAGTAAGGGTAATTAGGGCCGCATTAAGAACCAAAAGGATTAAAAAGAAGAAAAAAAAAAACCAAAAAAAAAAATAATGCCATTATTTAGTAATAATCTGTATTAGCCTTGTTGTATAAAAAAAAAAAAAAAAAAAAACAAAAAAAAAAAAATGATAATAATAAAATGTGCGAACGAATAGTAACAGACCTGACGCTAGAGCAAGGATGGTCAGGATGGAATGGAGCGAGTTGTGGGGCCCCATTCAAAGAGAAAACTGCCAAGTACCTAGTAAAAATGTCGAGACCTTAATCAAAGAACCTACAAAGAATATTGAGGCTTAATTCAAGATAATAGAAAACACGAGACTACGAAATAACAATCAAAATTTCTTTTACCTAAACCCTTGCAGCAAAACTAAGAAAGTATACAAACCAATTATGACTAGTACGAATTTACTAACCAAAGTTGGAAGATTAAGAACTTTGGATTTCAGCAAAATGATATCAATACCAAAACTAGTTACGCTTGGTAGAAACTGGCCAGAGATTGATTAACTAGTTAAAAGAAATATATTACTAAATGGAGAGTTGAAAAAGTACCCAACGACCTAAACACACTAAGACATGTCCAATGAAGTATGCAGTCAACATTTTACAAGGCCTAGGAATTGAATATGGAGTTGAAGAAGACGGATCTCTGTATATAGCTTACAGAAGATATAACTGCAGAAACAGAAGGAAAATCGACTAAAACCTAGGGAAATACACAATTAGAAATAACTATAGAAAGAATAAGGATTATGACTATACACATACAGAGTTGGGCATTGTTATAAAAATGGAATTGGGTTGAAAAAGCTGAACATCAATGGAAAAAAATTACCCCAATTTAAACATGCTAAAACCTGACGTAAACTTCAATCCAGCCCAGGTTGTTGGTATCCTGGCCAAAAGACAAAACTGAAGAAAACTGAACATACTGGTCTTATTCAAATTCAAAATTTAAAAAAAAAACTCCCACACATTATCAAGGAAAATAATCCGGTTATTCTGGACCCTAAGTGCAGGGTTGGCAATGGAGCCCAATGGAGCTGCCAATGGAGTCAATGGAGCCCTGAATGAAGCCAATAGATACTAGTTTTTTGAGCTCCATTCGCATAACCATTTAACTCCATTGGCTCCATTGCCAACCCTGCCTAAATGAAAGTAAACCCGACATAAAGCTTAATTCAGTCCAGGTTGTCGGTGTCCTGGCAGAAATAGAAATTGAAGAAAAACCGAATAATAAACTGTAAGAAAATATGAAAATGGACCCCAGCTATATTCAGTGCTGATGACATACCTTCAGCATTGACAGTACCCACAGGCATATGATAATTGACAATAAGAGCAACTACAAAAACAAAGTCAGTTCTTCCAAGTAAAGACTAGCCAATTATACAAGAAAAATAAAAAACAAACCAACAGATCCTTCAAAGTACTACGGGAAGAAGAGATGGATCAAATACTAAGCTTAGCCCACGAGCATTTAATGGGTGCCCATTTTGGGAAAGATATTGTATTCAACAAACTTCGTAAATGCTACTATTGGCCTCAAATTTACCGCAATATACGTGAGTACATGAAGACGTGTGGAAGCTGCCAACTTCACGGAAGCAGAAAATCAAAGGAACCATTGCACCCGATACCTGTCAAAGCCCCTTTTCATAGACTGGGAATTGATATAGTCGGTCCACTTCCTATAACGCCCCCGTATGAACAAATATATAGTCATTGCGACCAACTATATAACAAAGTGGCCAGAAGCCCATGCAATTCCCAGGGCCAATGCGCAAGAAGTGGCCAAGTTCATTTATGAAGAAATAATATGCAGGCATGAATGTCCTAACATTATATTATCTGATCAAGGTTCCCACTTCAACAACCACGTTGTAGATGAACTATTGACTGCTTTAGGCACTAAGCACTACTGCTCCACCCCCTATCATCCCCAAACAAATGGGCTTGTAGAACATTTTAATAAAACATTGTGCAACATCTTATCAAGACTAATTACCAACGTGACGGACTAGGACTTACTAATCTCACCAATTCTGTTCGCCTACCGCACAGTGAATCAAGCTACGACGCAGGAAACACCGTTTTACTTAGTGTATAGTAGGACTGCCCAATTACCCAACCACCCTAGTGAATCTGAAGATTTACTGAATGATACTATCATACAAAGGCTGTATGAGATCGACAGTAATTTGCCTAAAGCCCGTGAGAATACCCTGCACTGAATAAAGAGGATACAACAAGAGCAGAAAAGGCATCATGATCTACAGATCAAAGCCACGGATAATTTCTGGGCACACGTACCAGTAAACTGATACCCAAATGGAAGAGGCCGTACTATGTTCATAATACTCTTACATATAGTGCCTACAAGATAAGGGAACTAAATAGAGCAGTACTGGTAACACCCGTAAATAAAGCCCTGCTAAAGCCCTATCATGAACGAAACAATTAAGAGACCCACATATTGGAATACTGCATGATCAAAAAAAAAAAAACAAAAAAAAAAAAAAAAAAGAAGGTGGAAGAAAGAAAAGAATAAGAGAAGCAGAAAAGAAATAAAGGAAGGGAAAACAGAGAAAATATATAAAGGCTGCGAATTAGCTGTTGAAAAATGCAAACCTCAGATCCAACCTAACTCCTTAATAACTAAAACATTCTGAAATTACTATTACTATGGCTTCTTATAAAACTTTGATTCAACAGAACCTACTTGCTACTGAACCTTCGCTTGTAATGGCCACGCCCTGCTCTTATGATGCTAGTCAAGGAATTGCAACCAAATTGGCCCATGCTCGGGACAAAATCAATAGGGCCAAAGCTAGAGAAAATAGGATTGATGCCCTAGTATATGCTTACTATTTCGGTGCCTGTATGTTTGTTGCCACTCAAACTGAAAAAGCTGCAACAAGAAGGGAGTACGGTGAGTACTTCCTTCGGGGTGCCAAACGTACCTACTATTTGTTCGAACCCTTCCGTCTCACCAAGCTTACAACCTTACCAAAGGAAGACTTTAATGAATTGATTCAAGAGCTTGTGTTACAAGCTCTTTTCGGAGGGGAATAATTGTGACAGTTAAGGTTACCCGTAATCGGGCTGTGTCAGATAACTATCATTTTTTTTTTTCCAATTTTGTATTTTTTTTATTATTCTATTCTATTTCCTTTTAGGTTAGTAAATTTAGTGAATTTCGTAAATTTAGTAAATTTAGTAAATTTAGTGAATTTCGTAAATTTCGTAAATTTAATGAATTTCGTAAATTTAGTGAATTTCGTGAATTTAGTTATCAAATTAAGTCTGTAAATTTTGTTATAAAAGAGCTCTTTGCTCGCCCCAAATAAAAAAGATAACTCTCACTTGAGTTTTAACTTCGAAATCATCGTAGTAAAAGTTGTTTCTTAATAATTGACCTTCTTGACCCAATTCGTCCCTAATAAACCCTTATTTCTGTCCTGAACTTAGTGTAGAATTATAGCTTAGTGAGAAAACCTCTTAGTGAAAGTTCCGATAACACTGTCGAAATTAGAGTAGAAGTGTTAGTCCCAAGTCGTTTCCTTTATCAAAATCTATAATACAAATACAAATTAAACTTATCGTATATCCCTTGTCCCCGTGACCACATTATTCTTCTATCGAAAACGTCAATTACAAGAGTATTGAATAATAAAATAGAACCCTTTTAAATAACGAAAATACACTTATTAAATACCTTATTTTCTCATGATCACTTATTAAGCCAACAAACAATTAATTGATCTTCAAAATTACCCGTGACATCAGCCTCATCGGCTAATTGAAGATCCGAATTCCGCCAAATATCTACCCGTGACGTAGCTTAAATTAATCACCGATTGCCGCTAGTATCGTGATTACGTAACACGTGACCACGAAACGAACGAGCATTCTAAATCGAATAATTCGAGTTGTTCGTGTTAGAAAAACTAATACAACAAAGCAGTAACAAGCTAAAAGGATACAGAAGCCTTATCCAAGTCCCGGAAATATCACCACAAGACCCGAAAGATCTTGAAACTTGGACCAAGTCTTTCCACGCCCTCTTTCCGCCTTCCGCCTCAAGATTTTAGGAGTCTTGAAGCATAGTTTAGTTGTTTTAGTAGAATAACATAGTATTTTAGTTAGTTTAGCATAAAAAGTTTTAGCAACCACTTTCTCAACATACGAAGTTCTTTTTCTTGGATGAATGCATTATATAATTAATTATTAAAAGAAAATATTATAAATATTAATCTTTAAATATTTGAGAATTGACGTCTTGGATATCTTACCCGGATATTACCCGGGTATATCTACCCGAGTTTTATTATCCGGATAGATCTACCTGAGTATTGTTCAGGTATTACCCGGATATATATATCCGGGTAGCTGTAATTACAACCCGGATATCCGACTATCCGCGGGTAAACCAGGTAATACCCTACCCAGGTCCAATGTCTATGCTAAATTCTTTCAAACTACCTCCTAGCTTTACTAGTTTAGGCGTCATATTTATGCGTATAAAATAGCCGTGGTCTGAAACCAAGATCTATGGTCTCAAACCAAGAAAGTAAGGATGAAACGAATTAAGTTATTTACTTTCAATAATAATTAATAATGAAAATGAAAGTTCATTTTTTAAAACTAACCTCTTAGCACCGAATCAGTTACATTTATAAAACCAGTCAAGTTCATTTTTACTAATGGCAATTTTATAAAGAGCACATAATAAGATTGAAGTCACGCTTAAAAAAAAAAGTAATACCTAACCCACTAAAATTTAACAAAAAAGCTTGCAATATATCGTCCAATTCTTCTTCTCGATTTGGAACTTAATATTTGAATTATACAAATATAAAGTTAATTATTAAAAATTTTAAATATAATTATTATTAAATAAAAATAACAAGGTAATCAATTACTTTTTTTGCCTTTTGTTATTTATTTCAGTCCAAATTGAGTAGTGCATGTAGTTTCTATAAGCTCAACCTATTTTTAAATTGCATATAATTTTTATTGCATCTTGGTTACAAAGTTGTACCCTGGATAAATCCCACATTTCTAATTTCGGAACTTGAAGATTTTACTAGTAAAACAGACTTCTTTGAAACTTTAACTGAATAATATTAGGAGGCCTTTTTTTTTATTAACTATTAAAAATTTTTTTAAAATGGGATATTCGTTTACTTTACAATAAATTACAATAAATTGGTATGAATTATTATGCTTTCAATAATTATAACTACTTGATGATGTTATAATTTCAAGATTTTACATACTTGAAGCGAAGTTATGTATCTCATCAATATCCTATTCATTTTTGATAATTTGTATTATAATACGATTATTATGAAAAAAAAAATTAATTAAAATGACAAAAAAAAAGTTATAAAAATAAAAAAAAAACAATGAATTATTCAAGTATTGTGCATTTGATTTCGTAAAAGAATTTGATATTGCAACAAGTATAGTTATTAATATCCACAATATCTGGTGCAGAACAT